CTCCTGCTCTCGGGTGAAAGTGAAACTTAAACTGTCTGCGGAGCTCCTAACATTAGTTCTCACTCAGTGAAGCTCTTTTCAGATTAAAAATACCTTTGAGGAAATGTATTTTCAGATGCCAAGTAAACTGCATCAATGCAGCCCCAAGAGGAAGTGATGAGAAGATAAGTTTATTTTCTGTTTAAATGTAAAAACAGCATTTTAATAACAGCTAAAGGTGACATTGATACTTTTTTATGGTATAGTATTTAAATGTATGCCTGAGAAACACATAATATTGCCCCTTTAAGTAAAACATTTGGTTATTTATAGTTTACTTAATTGTTTTTCAGCTGAAAAGTAAACTTTTGTCTTGTTGCTTTTGTAAAACYTGGTTACCAAATCCACTTTAACTGTGCAGTGAATATTTCTCTTGCTTTAATGATGCTGCTTCATTCAGCTCCTACTTCATCAGAAACAAGTTACAATGGAGCCTCAGATAGACCTAAGTAATGTCTAAAGACTGCTGTTCTTCAAACAAAGCTCCCCAGTCTTTGTAGCCCCTCCRCATGCTCCATCTCTCCCCCTCTCCAGGACCGTCGATCTCAGATTCCAGTTTGTTCCAAAATCCAAATGGAACCATCATCACGTTGACCTGGGAGGTCCCACCTACAGCTATTGTTACAGGTAAAGCAGGAAGGTACTTACGGAAAGCTAAGACAGTTCCAGTGTGGAAACACACAGATTACAGTCTTGTTTTAATTTTGAACAAGCAGAAACCTTCTGGTGGGGGGGGGGATTGTGTGTTCAAAACAGAAACTCTTCCCAGAACATAGGGGCGTAAATATTGACTCGTGTGAAACCTCCAGGCGGGTACAGCGTAGCTATGAAAAACAAAACAAATGTCAGTTTTGATTTAGTTTGTATGTAACAGCATCATCTTAAAAGATAAAGCTGCTGTTTGATGTTGGTCAGCTCTGATGCAACTGTGTGTATTCTTCATTGAAGGTTTTGAAATTCAAATGAAAGGACCAGCTCTTCTGAGCAAAAGTGGTGTAAGTAGCGACACCAAAAGCAGCCCAGACGGGTACATTTTCCTTCAGCAAAAACCAGCATCTGCCAGGAGTGCAGACATTTTCCCACTTGATCCCAACTTGACTTATCAGTTTCGGATCATCCCCAAAGCCCGTCTAACCGAGGGACCGCCGTCCAAGATTCACAGAATTGGTCCAGGTATGAAAACTGTTAAAGCACCACATTTGTTTGAACTAGTTTAGGATGATTAAAAGTATTGATTAACTGTTTTTCCTTGCGGTAACAGGTGGAGGGCTGAGTGGACCTGCCATCGCTGGCATCGCAGCTGGAATCCCATGCAGCATTCTCTTCCTGGTGCTGCTGTGTGGTCTTATTTATCTTCTTGTCTACTGCAAAAATAAAAGTAGGTAGACTACACAGAATATAAATTTTTTCCATATTTGAACCATAAAGACTATCTTTAGCACATTGAAGAGTGCCATGTCACGAGTTGCAGTGGATTCAGTTTTTGTCACACTTCTACAGCCTAAATCCTGTTTCCAAAAGTTTAGATTTATTTGTTATATTTTCTGCATGCATTTTTCAAAATAAACATTTTCTGCCTGTAGATCGTCAAACAAGATATCCAATCTCCAGAGCAGTTGAAAAGGTTTGGATGTTTTTTTAGCATACTTGAAATGACTAAATAGAGAAGTGTCATCATTGTATCATTTGATATAAAACTGGGTTACATGATAACGTTAATCAGACTGGTTTTTTCCTGATGTTTTGTTATTTCAGGCAAAAAACACTCAAATCCAGCCAAAACCAGCTCCTCGCATTCTGTCAGGACGACTGAAGTCTCCTCCTGACTACAACAGGTTACACCAGGTAAGGTTTATAATAATCAATAATCACACCTTCAAATCAAATAAAATAATCTGACCTGAGACATTTTTTCTTACTCACTAGACTCCATCTGAAAGATCTGTGGCTCTGCCCACATTTGTCCCACCAACACCAGTCAGAGTTGCAACAACAGTCTAACAGTTCAATCTGTGTACGTTTTTTAACGTTTTAATTTCATAGAAACATTTTATGTAGATATGTTTTATTATTATTTTAAGTATTCAGTGTAAATAATTGTCTGTGATTTATTTCTCATAGAAATCAGTCTAAGTCATCCCTGAAAATTTTATGCTTTATTTTCTAAAGCTTTTCATTTGATGTTTGAACATAAAGCTTAAAGAGTAACTTACCCCAAAATTAACTTTTTTAGCTGATAAACTGTCTAGAATGTGTCTAAAATGTTATATAGCACTGTTTCTGTGCTAATTTTGATGTTTTTGTGCGTATTTGTTCAAATCTGTAATATTTGGTCTAAAAACGTGTTTTTGCTGCTCATATGGGTAGAGCAGTGGTACTGCAGACTAATTTCCATATTGATTAATGGGTCTCCACGGTGACGTGCTTCTCCACAGTTTCATCACAGCGGCTGTGTTCTGGTATAAAAGCCTCTCTCTAAGACACGCCCCTGCAGCAGTCAGAGGGCGGAACAGTTAGCAAGCTTAGCATGATCGTCTGTTGACCTTCAGCCTCGGTGGAGAGAGGTGACTGCTGCGATTCTCTCTCTCCCTCCCTCTCCCTCTCTACACACACACACACACACACACACACACACACACACACACACACA